TCCTAATTCACTGCAACCTCAAACTCCTGGGCTCCAGTGAAGCTCCTGCCTCAGCCTCCTGAGTAGCTGGTACTACAGGCATGCGCCATGATGCCCAGCTAATTTTTCTGTTTTTAGTAGAGATGGGGTATCACTCTTGCTTAGGCTGGTCTTAAGTGATCCTCCTGCCTTGGCCTCCCAGAGTGCTAGGATTACAGGCGTGAGCCACCACCCCAGCTGAGACTGTCTACTTTCACTCAGCGTAATATACGTGAGATTCATCCATGTTTTGTGAGTATCAATAGTCTATTTCTTTTTACCGCTGAATAGTATGCCATTGTATGGGTGTACTACAGTTTGTTCACCAGTTGAAGGACATTTGGGTTGTTTCCAGTTTTTCTCAGTTATGAATATCACTATAAACACGCACATACAGACTTTCATATGGACATGTTTTCATGGTAAGGTTTTATTTTATAGAAATGGCTACATTTTCATAGACCTGAAGGATAAGATTCCACTGAATGAGGAACTGGCCTCCAGCCCATTCTTCTGTCTCCCCACCCTGCCTCAGCATTTTTTAAAAATCGCAGTGACACTAAGCCTTCCAAGAATATTGCAGAGAATGTTTTGGGGCACAGTGGGAGAAGGTGGACGGGAGCTCCCTGTCGTTCCCCTGCACGGGGGCCCCAGAGCGAGCCAGGGCTGCTCCACATTCATTGCTGGCTGTGTCTGATCTCTGGTCCCACAGGGGCGGCGCTGGCTCTGCTGATGTGCACACTCAGGCAAAAACTTGCAGAGCCAGCCAATCGGCCCATTATTGGGTTCATATAACTTGTTAAAATCTCACGGAATGTACAGCGTGCCATTGTTTTTGTAAGTCCCTTTCATGACTTTGTGAGCTGGCTAATTCAGAGCAGACTGGCCTGTTTTCCTGCTGGAAGAAAAGGCTTTTCCCAAAGACAGCTATTTAACCGTGACCATGGCCGCAGCCATCTTGAGCACAAAGGGGAGCTGAAGCCATGCTGCCCCTTCTCCCGCCACGGTCTCAACAGCCAGGGAGCTGTTTGCTGCTGGAATTCACATAATTACTCCTTGTTTAATCTGCTGGGTGACCTAATGAATCCCCAGAGACTGCCCAGTTTGTAAAGTCAGCAGACCTAGAAGATCCTTTGGGAAGGAGCACTTTCGGAGCATTAACCCCAAGAGGACTGCTCTCAAGTCTCTCCGGGCCCTTCTGCACTCAGAAGGGAGAAGTGGGAGGGCTGTGGTCCCTACGCAGGATGACAGCTCCAGGCCCATCCTGTCCTGCTCCTACCCTGCACAGCAAACTCAGAGACTGCAAGTCATTTTATTAAAGCTCACAGTGGGTCTAACAAGAACCCACCAAGGCTGACTACAAAAGAAAGAGGATATTTGTTCACTAGGAACCTGGCCAGGAACAAAAGGCTGCATTCCATCCTGACACTTCCTCACTGCGGCCGCCTGGAGAGCAGCCTTTGTCCACAGGCCAGCAGAGCGCGGCTTACAGCCAGCCCCGCCACAAAAAGCACTTACCTACTCACGACCAATTTGAAAAAACAGGCATCTTGAGTTTTCTTTTCTACTTTGCTACATTTTCCAATTTATCTTTTTTTAAGGACAATTTATTTTAAAATGAAAAATCTATAATAAACATTTCTTCTAAAAGAAAAATCACTCAGCTCTGTCCCAGCCAATCACTTCCTCTTCTAAAAAAGATACTTTAACCACCCTCAGAAAAGAGACTCTTTACTAAAATAACTGTAGGGCTTAAAGTAACTAGTCTTCAGCCCAAAAGGAAGATGGTATAAAGGGGAAGGAGACTGGCAACAATATAGATTTATAAAATTTAGTGCAATGGCTGGGGGCAACTTCTGAAGCTCAAAGAAGTAGCTCCAGGGGGGGAAAAATGAAAACAATGATAAATGAGTGAGATAAAAATGATAAAAGCAGATTTCATAGGTTCAAAGGGGTTATAAAAGTGAAACATAATGGATCACAAAGCAACTGCAGGATTGCTGGGGGTAAATCTCCAATCCTAGGAAGTAACATGATGGGTGGGAAATTATTCTCTGTCATGTCTTTGGTTGTAATGCCTGAGATACAACATGAAATGCTACCCTTGTTCCAATCAATATGGCAATTTTATGATCAAGAGTGATAGTGTAATTAAGAACTCCTTACTACTTGCTAAAAAATCTTCCCCTCCAACCTATTACTGGCATAGAAAATCCTGAAAATGTTCAGCTGGAAGGAACATTAGTCCACCCCAAGGTTTTCTAGTTGTGGGAAAGATGGAGCCCAGAGAGGGGGTAAGTCCAAGGTCATACTGCTAATTAGAACCAGTGTGTGGCCCCAGCTCCCCTCCCTGGGGCATTCTTAGGGATATGTAACTTGAAGTGTCTGTTGGAATGCTATCTGGAAAGGGTAACATGCTGAGCTATCACCATTTATTAACATTTTAGCACAACTTATTTTAGCAAATTTTCTGAGCAACTACTTGACACAGATCTAAGAAACTGGACACGGAGTAAATACATTTTAATGGGGGTAAAAATATGGCCAAACACAACGTGGGCAGTAAGTAGGTAGAGCAGTACAGAAGACAAAACTCCACTTCACAGTTTTGCCTAAGGTTATGGCTCTAAAAACTATTTCCTCCCATTAAAAAAAAATGTTGGTTTTATCTAGGGTGAGGTATGTTAGGTACGCAGAGGAAAATTCCAAAGCTGTACACCACTAACCGAAGTCGCTAACTACGTGGTAAGCAGCAGAAGGAAGGTGGAGGTTTCCAGCTTTCTAATCTGGAAGAAGCAGTCCTTCAGAGACAGTGACAGAGAATCAATTACATCTGATTACAGAAAAGGACCTTATGATTATACAAAAGAGTTAAAAACAGAACTGCAAGACGATCACATTTTGAGCCACTGTGGACAAAAAAAATTTGTGAGAGGAGAGGAGAGGTCTAGGAAAACAAGTAAACAGTAGGAAAAAAAAAAAACACTCTCTTTTCGAAGGGCCACAATTAAAGAGACAGAAACAGTGAGGAGTGAGATCCGCAAATCCCTGGGCTACTTTGGGCCTGCTATTTATTTTCCTATCACATCCAAACATCGAACTGAGCCCTTAGGGTCTTGGTGCTGTTGTGGGGCCCAGCAGGAGGCCAGCCTGCTGGACAAGGTAAAAGCACCACCAGACAGCCCTGTGGCTTCCCAGCCATGCACATTTCCCTCCATCCCTCCCTCAAGAACTACTCGTAGCTAAGCAACCAGAAACCAGTCCCCTTTCAGGCCATGTTAATGTGCTGCAGCACAAATGGTACAGGACAGCGAGCTAGCAGGACACAGAATGCAAACCGGGCAGAATGCAATTTTGGAGTCTTTCTCCACCCAGCTCTCTCCTGCTATGACACTGAAGTCCCATCCTTGTGGGTCAGCCTCAGCGCCCTGACTCCCCCGACCCCAGGATGCAGGAGGCAGTCCCAGACCTCACTCTTCCATCTGGGTACAGGGAAATGGGGTGTGTGTGGAATGGCTGGAAAGTCTCCCAGTGGGGAGGAGAGCAGCACTTAAAGACACAGAGGGAGGCCTGGGACCGGAGTTATGTCAGGACTTGGACTGCTGTCCACAGCTGGGGCTTCCACTGCCCAGAGGAGGAGACTCAGGCAGGGATCACATCGCTCCCCATTCTGGGGTCACAATGAATCCCTAAAAATTTGACGTTTTCACTCTTGTTTTTTCAGCCAATGAATCTGACCCTGACAGAAGGGCCCCTCATCATGCAACATTCTTCACATAGAATTTCTACTTTTCTCCATGCCGAGAGGCATTAAGGGCACCAGAGTATTGCAGGGAAGAAATATCTCAAAGTCAAGGGGGCCAAACTATACCCCACTTTCTCTAGAACTCTCTCTACTGGTTCTACTGGTGCTTTCCCCTCTTCCATCCATCCTCTGGTCTACGGAGGGAGGAAAGGCCAAAACTCTGGGGGAAGGCATGGGGTACACAGCACTGTGACCAGCCTAAATACTCTGAAACTGAGGTGCTGCCCTTGTAATAGTGAAGACGGAATGTGGCTCCTAAGGAGTAAGCTCTTGAACACCTAACTCATGCCACAATTCCTCCTAAGAGGTAATAATATACATTATCATAAATCCAAGAAACTAGGTGTGATAATCAGACTTCTCTCTTCTGTAGGAGGATTTCAGTTCTCAAAAATAAAAGAAAATAAATATATACACCCAAAAAATAGAAGGCAGGGCAGGGGGACTGAGGGAAGAAGTGAAAAGTATCTTTTCTTTCGGCTCAGCAGGAAAATATAGTTTAGAAGGATTGAATATTTAGAGCATTGACTGCCAGCCCCTCTAGAAAGTAGCATATTACTACTTGGTCCCAGATTAGCCGCCGAGTAAGAGGTTGACTGTTGGAAAGGAGAGGACAGCTCATAAAGTCTCAGAGGGCCTTCGGTCCTCCACTGAAGGTAAACATAAGTCCTCATCTACCGTTCCAAAATCCAGAAAACTCTGAAAACTAACTTTTAAAAAAGTAGCTCATTGAGCAGCAAAACTAATCCAATCTCATTTGGTGGCAAAATGTAACACGAACTACATAAAATTATTTGTCATCTATTTATCCCTCTTACTGTGAATATTCACGTTACTATGGAGATAATGTTTGATTACGGGGTTCTGACCCTAGACCTCTTTGGGGGTATTACACACATGCATCATATTACCTTTCTTAGAAAAGAGTCTGAATTTTAAAACACATCTGGCTCCGAGGGCCAGATAAAGGGAAAACACTGTAGTCCTGCACTAGGATGACGTGAGACCATACCAAATTTACCAACGGCTTGAGAGTCAAATTTCCTCCTGGTTGTTTCAGACAATCTAGCCAGCTTTCCACACAAACCCGGCTACAGCTTTTTTTGGCAACACCGTATTAGAAAGGGGCAGCCTATTACGCAGGGTCAGGACTACATGTTAAATCCTGGTTTCCTACCTTCACGTATTCCAGAGTTGGGTCCATAGGATGTGGATCCCTGAAAAGAGAAAACGTAAATATGAGAACAATTGGGAATAACACATTCTTACATTAAGTAAAATGTTATTTTTACTTTACCAACATTATTTCACCCTATTCATTTACGTTTTTAGGCTGGGCCCCAGGCAGACATGGATTTGTTTCATGATGGGTGGGTGGGGGGTGGGAGATACCACCGTGATATCAGTCTAGAAGCTCCGCATGCTTCCCTGCGAAATTCAGGCCCCAGAATGTTAGACTATTTATGTGTAGGAATTCTGGATTTACTTGAGCATAAAAACAGAAAGTCTGAAGCAAAGTGCTTGGAGGGCAGAGGTGGGAGGCAAGCAAGACTGCATGCGGGAACGCGTGGCACTTTCAAGCACTGATGGTGCCCAGGTAGATTCCCACACAGTCCCCACCAGGCAGTGATGTCCAGCCAACCCTGACAGGAAGAAAACAGCGGCTCAGGTGGGCAGAGCGGGTGCCCAAGGTCATGCAGCAGGCCTGGGTGAGGGAGGGAGCGGAGCCTTTCTCTCTTACTGCTGGCTCCCGGAGTAAACCTGAGCAACTCATCCCAATTTTTCTTTGTCCCCCAGTGTTTTCATCCCACCATCTAACGGCTGCTCTTATGTCTATCGTAATAATACATCGGATTGACTAGACAATTAAAAGTAAACACCAGTGAGTGGCACTAACGAAGGCGACTTAAGGGAAAGATCTAAGGCAAAAGGAGCAGAAGGGGGACAGGAAAGCTAATGTTTTCAAGGCTTGCAGGGTTATAGTGAGGTGTCACCCACCCTGACTGTGAAAATACAGCTCCTTGAGAGACTTAAACTTCAAAAAATCAACACATTCCCACAGAGAGATGCAATCATTTAAAAATGACAGAATGGCTCTGAAGACAGCAAGGCTAGTGTCTCCTCTGCAGGGGGTTCCTTGGCATAGCTACGGAGAGGCCACGCCCATCAGCAGGCAGGGGATCCCTGCTGGTGAGCAGTCTCCTCTGGAGGAAGGAGGAAGGAGGAAGGTGTGGATGCTTCTCTGGCTTTGGAGACAGCCACCAGAGATGGGAGACTACAGCACTCTTGCACAAGAACACGAAGGCCAGAGCCCAGGGCACAAGCAGTCCTGACCCCACAGGTCAGGGACACAATCCATCTCATGATGGAAATGGATCCAAACCCCAAGCCATCCTTGGACTGGATTGTCCATTGAGGACTGTGCATGGGGCGCATGCGCAGAGGCGGGATGGCGTCCAAGATTCTCCTCTGCAGATTGGGTTGTGAAAAGAATCCCTTTGCAGGGCCAAAGGACTGGAGAAGAGCTTAAGCTTGCAGTCCCTGAGTGCACTCCCATCAAAGAGCGTTATCAATCAGTCTTTCTAAGCCTTCAAACCAGGCATACTCTGCCTTCGAGCTGGTGTTCGAACTGGTGTTCGTTTCATCAGGCATCTTTTCCCAAAGCAGAAAGGAGTCTGTCTGCTTCAACAGGTCACCCTCCTTTCGAGGTCTTTGTAGTGTCAGTGCCATGCTCACCCCCTCATGTGCATACACGGATGTCATCAGGCTTTGGGACCTTGGAACCACCCAGCTAGTGACTAAAAACTTTGTCAGCAGCATTTTGGCTGTGCTTCCCCCTTTAAGTTCTTAAACCCCTGGTTTTCTACTGAATTAACATTTTAGGCTTATAGGCATTGTTTGTCCTAGTGGTCTGGCCCTGGGAATACAGAAAAATGTTAGATCCACTGAAATGCTGTTTTTCATCTTCATGTTTCTATTTTTATGTACATTTTAAAATGTACTTTATATGCATGCATATATGTCTTAACACATGGATATATATATAGGTACATACTGCCCAAATTGAAGGTTCTCAAACCTTTTGGTCTCAGGATCCCTTTAACACTCTAAATCCCAAAGAACTTTTGTTTATGTGGGTTATATCTACTGAGAATTGACATTAGAAATTAAAACTGAGAAATTTTCAAGATATTAATTCTATTTTAAAAAACCATTTACACGTTTAAACAACATTTTAATGCAAAATAGATGTTTTTCATGACAAAAATTTAGTGAGAAGAGTGACATTGTTTTACATTTTAAAAAATCTTTTTAATGTCTATCTTAGCAGAAGACAGCTGAATTTTCATATCTACTTCTGCATTCAATATGTTGTGTGATAGGTCTTGGCTGAAATAAATGAAAAAAATCCATCCCCACACAGATATGCAACTGGAAAAGAAAAGGGTATTTGAATAGACTTTCAGATAATTATGGATATTCTTCTTTGATGCCATACCAAAAGTCGACAAGTGAAAGGTTAGTTGTAATATGGAATCTAAAACTTATTTCTCACTCTTTTGTGTATACCTTGCACTTTGAATGAACCTTTATCCATGTTTGATTCTATAACCAGTATTCTGGAAAATACAGGTTTACTGACTTATGCAGATCTTCCAAATTGACACATTTCAATATAATATTTAAAAAAACCTCACATTTGTTAATATTACCACTGATCTCCTCAGAGAAGTTATTAGGTACAGTGTCCTTCAGTATCCATGTGGGACTGGTTCTAGGACCCCCTCCTCTGCCCCCACCCCAAGGATAGCAAAAATCCATGGATGCTCAAGTCCCTTATATAAAACGGTGTCGTATTTGCATATAATGTACCTACGTCCTCCCATATATTATACTTTAAGTCATCTTTAGATTACTTATAATACCTGATACAATGTAAATGCTATGTAAACAGTTGTTATGCTGTATTGTTCAGGAAATAATGACAAGAAAAAAGTACATGTTTAGTACAGACAAAACCATCCTTTTTTTTACGCAGATATTTTCAATCTACAGTTGGTGGAATCCATGGATGAGGAGCCCAGTTACAGAAGGCTGACCGTATGAGGAACTATCAAGTTCATGGTGAAAGGCACGAGTTTTTCAAAATTCTAATTTTCACTTGAAAGCTTGGATTTTTTTCATTGGCAATTAACACTGTCAATTATTTTCCTAGAGCTTCATTTCATTCATTTTTGGGAAAATATCTATCAAATACTAATATCATATAGTCATGACTTGTGATTTTTAACTCTCTTTTTTTAAGCATGCCACATGTCATTATTTTAGTAATTTTGTTTACAATTGTTCCTAGGATCTTTTGCCTTAACCACCAGATTTGGTTGTAAAATCCTTTTCCTTTTCCTTTTGAAAGCTCAATGTTCCTCGCCGCACTCCCTGAGCTAGTTCTCTCAGGAGAAACCTCCAGCTCTCTCAGGGAGCAGGTGCGATAACAAAATGCTGTGCCTGGTTGTTCCTGAGGCAGCACTGGCTGGTTAGCAGTGTCCCCACACACAGGTGGTGTCACCTGGAGGTAGGTGGCCTGTGCTCTCCCCACAGCCTTGCTGTCTCAGTTAGAACAACCTCTTAATTGTACTCTTTTAATTTTTCCTTTCTGGTTCCTTGAGTCAGGGCTTCAGAAGACAACTTTGAAAGGCGTTTATGGTGAAAGGTGTTTAAGAATGCTTTTCAAGCAGGTAACATGTCATGAAAAAAGTGGCTAGTTTAGGTTATAATCCAAGCACATAATAAGAGCTTTTCCTTCTACATGACCATCTTACTTTGGTATGCAGCATAAATATTTGATATCTACTTCCTATTTTGTTACACAAAATATTAAAAAGATGGATATTCAAGAGTTGAGATTTAATATGAATTTTTTTACCTTTTCATCAAAGACATTCTTAAGAGAAACAAATTTTTTTAAAAGAACTCTGAGAACACAGAGGGGAGGAATGCAGCAACTACTCGCACAGTTTGGTGGCACTGCTTTGCTTTGCACTGAGGCACAGCAATTTCATCCACTATTGCTTTTGCACCATCAGTGCAAATGCTGACACAGTGAAAAAGGCAAATGACATCTTAGTGTTGTCATGAAAATAGTTTAGTTAGATCTTATAAATCCCCTAACAGGATCTCAGGGACCCCCAGGGGTCCATAGATCATATTTTGAAAGCCACTATACTAAATAAATAAGTACCCATACATTAGCTGTAGGCTCGAATATTTTTACCAAAAGATCTACAATCAATAGATACCATACCAAAGGCTCAGGCTACAGAGGCAAAAATATTATAATAAAAAAATGGGACTACATCAAACTAAAAAGCTTCTGCACAGCAAAGGAAACAATCAACAAAATGGAATGGTAGCCTACAGACCCCACATTATATAAGGGGTTATAATATGTAAAATGTATAAAGAACTTATACAACTCAATAGCAGAAAAACAAACAATCCAATTAAAAATGGGCAAAAGATCCAAGCAGACATTTCTTTCAACAAGACATAAAATAGGCAACAGTTGTGTGAAAAGGTGCTCAACATCCTTAATCATGAGGAAAAAGCAAATGAAAACCACTGTGAGATGTTAACTCACACCTGTTAGCACAGCTATTATCAAAAATCAAAAGACAACAAATATTTGTGAGCGTATGGAGAAAAGGGAACCCTTGGATACTGTTAGTGGGAATGTAGATTGGTACAGCCATTAGGGAAAACCGTAAGGAGGTTTCTAAAGACCCCAGATGAATGGACTACCTTATGACCCAAAGGAGATGAAATCATCACCTCGTAAAGATATCTGCACTCTCATTCACCGCAGCATTATTCACAATAGATATGGAAACAACTAAGTGTCCACTGATGGACGAGTGGATACAGAACTGTGGTGCAGTCAAGACTCTGGAGACCCCTTTCTCAAAGTGTCTGTCATTTTTCTTCATCTCTCACTGATTACTAGTCTGCTGACAACAGGGGTACAACAATTGACACACATAGGTTTGCTCTTTGTCCTTCAAAATCTTCCCCATTCTTGCATGATTCAACACATCTGCAGCATTTATCATTTCCTTACCACCTTGAACTTGTTCTCCCACTACTTTCATTTATCTTAATAGGAGTTTCAACACCTGTGATATGTATCACACAATACCTTCTGCACCCAAAGGAGTCCGTT